CGTCTTTGGNGAGCGTCAGTCAGTCAGTGTGTGTGCGTGATACTCGTAAAATGTGTAATGATAAATGTAGTAGAACCAAAGAATTTAATAACTCATACGAACATATTTTTGCTTATGTAGCCAACTTCCTTTGCAGGTTGACTTTTATAAAATTTATTGACCACATCTAAAGAACGACGTAAATTCAAGAGTTTTGCTCGGAATGGAATGTTGAAAAAAATATTCAAGTTTAACAAAAATTTTTTGACTTTGAAATAGTAACACGGTGTAACTGAACTGTTTAAGTGATCTAGTAGAGCTCGTAGGGCTGGCCGAGTAATTCACGAAACTGCATTAAAAAATTTTTTTAACACCCTCAAAATCTCGACTGTTGTTTGACATTATAATGTAGATGAAAATAAAGACGTGACAGAAGAGGCAAGAAAGTTGCCTCTCATGCCCGAACTAAATTGGTTTGAGTGTTTACAACTAACTGGTTCCATAATTATAACATGGATTTCATTTATTTGCCTTCACAATATTCTGAGATGTCATTTAAAATGAGCCATTAGAAAAAATATTTCGAAAACCAAGATTTATAAGCCAAAATGTCGACGTTGCTTATAGTCAACATCAGACATGAAAGGGTTAAAATAATAATTGCACTCGTATATAATAAAATTTTTATAAATCAGCTGTTGCGAAAGATCATTACCAAACTAAGAGAAATGCCAACTAAAGAACCTCCAAAGTAACAAAATTTGTGTATATGAGCAAATCTCACGAGTTGTTTTTTTTTAGTGTCGACTCCCTCCTCTCCCCAGAAAAAAAAACGTTAAAGCATTATTCTTGCATTTTTTGCAATCAGTGAAGTTCCAGAAACAAGTGGCATAAAAAAATCAAGTATTTGAACAATTTTAGCCTTAAAACATTTTTTTTAAGCGAAAAAGTACCGAAATTGCTCACTTCTTCATTGTCACTAGAAAAAATCCTAATGTTTTTTTTTAATAACTTTGGGAAGCTTTCAAATAAAATTTTCATATTAGAGGCAATATGTGAAGTTTCAAAAGCTTACCACGAAATAAAAAAAAATGGCAGCATGCAGAATATCTGTCGCAGCCATTTTTTTGTAGGTTTTGAAATTTTACGATTTTTTTTTTAATTGTAATAATTTAAGATACTTCAAAATGTTGAAATGAAACGGTGAAAATATTATTCTTGGTAAAACCAACGAATCTAGTGTAACAAAACTAGTGTGTCACCAAATGAAGAAAATAAAATTCCAATTTTACAATTTTTATTGGCATCCATCGAAATGCATTCAAAAATTTTTATATTTATACATGAAAAAAGTAATAGATACATATCTGCATAAGGAATATTGTGTAAAAATCTCAAAAGCAAAATATGTAATCATTTTTAAGTAATATAAGCCATATTAAGTTACGGCGTGCGAGCAAACGTGTAATATGACTTTTTATCGTGCTACGGGGCGTATACGTTATATACGCAACTACGGGTATACATATGAGCACGAGTGGTTGTTTTTTACTTCTTTTAGTATATATGTATCTTTTTCAACTTTTCATTTAAATACAATTTCGCGTTGGAATCTTGTTCTTTATAGAAAATTGGAGATAATGCATTTTCCAAGATAAGCGTGTCTTCATTTTCGACCAAAAAAAATGTATGTACGTGGATATGCATGTAAATTTGTTTTTGAGCGCATTCTTGCATTTCCCTGCATACAAACATTAAAGTTAATATGCCGACTGTTTGCCTTGTCAATATTGCCAAGCTTTTTGTTTTCTTTCAAATTAAACATATTTTTGCCTCGTAAATTTAATCAAAGAACATAAAAAACAAAAGTACATTAAACTTTGAAAGATTTTTTTATTTGAATATTAAATAGCCATGCGCGTAGCTGTATGTATGTATGTACTTACATATATACAAATGTGCATACGAGTAAGTACTTGCATACATATTTTCTATATAAAATCGCAATACCTAAAATAAAATATGCCAGTGCGATAATGAAGTAATCAAATAGAAAAAGTTAAGTGTCAAATTGAGTGACTATTAAACGAATTTCGCGCAAGTGCCCCACAGTTCAGAGAAATCAAAGCAAGTCCTCTATCTCACTTCACTTTAATTCTTTGCGTAATTGAATCAGCAGCAGCAGAAGAGGCAATCAGTCAGCCAGCGTAGAAATCCCAGCAATGTTGTGCGTGCGTGAGTCACATGTATGTATATATGTATGCTGATATGTCTAAATATATGCAGGCAGAAATACTATCACTACATTGCTGATGTGCAAGCGTAGCCCTCTGACCTTTGACGATCGTTAATGGTAATTTTTTATTCCAAAATTATACGCAATGACTACGCTTTTGTTGTGCTGCTATAGAAAATCTTGGCAATTTTGATTCTGCTCAATTAATTTATTTAACTCATCTTCACTCTTTCCCTCCTTTAAATGTTTGTATTTTAAATCGCGGTGTCATATTTTGAAAGATTTATACATTCTTTTAATTCTGTAAGCAATTTGGCACCCATCCAAAATAATTGACAAAAAAATTTTATGAACCACCTGTTCGATTTCGATACGCAGAAGTCTTTCGGCTACACGGACATACGTATGTAAATATGTATTGATTCTCACTTATTATTATGTATGCATATATGTACACATCGATGGTCCTCTGCAATGACGAGACAATTCAAAGTTCAAAAACTAAAAACTTTTGCTACTGTTAAGTGGCTTATGTCTCTAATCCACGTATAATCCTTACTAAAGTAAGCAGTAAGGATTACTAGAGTAATGAAGGGATTTTCGCACGGATGTGGACTGAGGTAGATCTCGAAAGGTACTCTCCTAGGCGCCATGAATGCAGATTTACAGAGACAGGGGAAGAAGCACTTTCATTTTGGTACCACTAATAAGCTTGATGCTCTACAAAAAAGGAGGGCCAACTCATAGTAAATCGTAAACTCTTAAAGAAAGAAGATATTACCTACCATGAACCTACTTCTACATTGAAGCCATACCCAGCGACTACTAACATCAAGCGCCTAATTTCATGCTATGTACTGCTGCATATGAAAAAATTTCCCTTCATTAAATTTATGAAATTTTTGCCATGCACTTCTCAACCGCCGTTTAATAAAGCGTTCTTAAGTTATAATTCGATGGCATGCTCGGACACTGCTTCCGAAGTTTATTGCGGACTCTGCTTGGCTTACAACTATGAGCTCTTGCTCTTAACCACATACCGAATAGGTACAGAAGAGTTTTAGTCCGCAAATTAGTTTCATCACACATAAACTCTACTCTTTTGGGTTCAGACCCATACTCCAGGTGTCACACAATTTGTATATTTGTACAGATTTGTACATTTTGGAAGTCACAGAGAGGTGTAGTGTAGACATAATGAGTTCAGTCCAATAACAACTTTCCTAATAACACCATGCTGTAATTGGGAAAATGCACAAATCGAGTGATCCCTGCTTAGGTTTATTGCCCTTTAGACTAAAAACGCAGGTTCGGCTTATAAAGCACTATTTAAAGGACGCAGCCGCGAACAAGTTCGCGACAACCCAGTATGCTTATACCAAGGAAAAGTCCCCGGGAAAAGCGCATAAAATGGTATATTACAATATCAATGCCTATCAAGAAATACATATAACCTGATAACAATCCTAGATACCGATGACACCTTCAACAAGATCATGTTCTCATCAAATTCGGAAGCGCTGATGGATCTGAGCATTGACTCGAGGCTGGGCACTGTTGTAGAATAAACCAGGTAGTGCAAGCTAATCTAGTGGCAGTATCGATTAGGTGGAGTCCTATCTCCCCTTCTTCACCGTGAACGAACTGCTTACAGCCATCAATAAGGAAGGATGCTGCAAGTCATTCGATGGATGAATGGCGGTCGCGCACTAAACCAACGGAAGCAATATTATATATGTATATATAATTCCAACTCCTAAAACACGCATACAATCACAAAAACTACTTTAAGAAAGTAGATGAAAGCATTTACGAATAAAACTTATTTCTCTAGTCAAATTTCCACTGGGCATTGAAATCCCAGTGGGAATTAGGAGCACGTAATAATACCTTATTAGCAACTTACTCTTCACCTGGCAGTCATTGCCATTTCCCTGCCGAACGTCCCTTACTTTTACAAAGGCATGGCCGCCTTATGTAATTAGGAATTTAGAATGTACATTTGGTATCAGACATACTTCTGAGCCGCTTTACAAAGTAAGTTACGTGTAATGCAGAGAAGTCGCTCGGAGTAGTTCGGCGCTTGGAGATAACTTCGGCTGCACGTTACTTTGCAACTGACAACGTAATGTGTCGTTGGAGGTGTTCATTTTGTGCTTTACTAGTAGATGACATTGGCCATGATGACAATTTTGGTACTAAAAACTGAAAGAAAACATGGCTTACCTCGTAAGGTGCTTACCTATTTTCCCAGTGGGAATGACAAAAAATTTGTGCTATTTAAAAAAATATTACATATGTGGAAACAGATACAATGTCTTTACACGAATATTATTTAATGCCCAATTCCGGCAATAATATTTCTTTGGATACCCACACCTAGAACATTAATTATTATTATTAAACATAGCAACCGTTCGTAAGAAATTTTAAGCATTGCATATTTTACTTAAATTTTACTCAATACCCGCGCACACAATAGATTATGATAAAAACATAGCAAGGTATAACCGTTCTCTCAATTTGTCGGCCATGATTTTTTTTTGAAGTTTGCCAACATTTTAAAATCATATAAAAGTGAAAATAAAAAATTGAAATTGTACGAAATTGTTGTTGCTTGAGATTGAAAATGAAAATGTGTGTGTGAGTTTGTGAGTAAATTTAAAAATTAAATTGTTTGGAAACGTGAAGAATTTTAAAAGTGACTCTCAGCGGTTCTACCTTACTATATTTTTATCATGCAATAGATCACTACGAAATCGAATCCAAAATTATTTTCACTCACCATTTTCTGCTCATAATACGGTATCGGTTGTGCTGCACTTCCACTTCCATAGTTATCCCATTCGTCCCTAATATCCAGAAAAAGAAACGAAAATAAAAAATAAATTAATAAAGGCAAAAAAACTGAAACAGAATTGCAATTGCCATTCATTAACTCGCAAACACCAACCTCCAAACACCGATAAGCTTTTCAACACACACCACGCTCATACCAGCAGTGCTCATTAGTTACCAGTACTTGTACTCACCTCTCCATGCGTTGAATCACCGGCATTTGCGCTGTACTATCGTGTATGCGCACTTGATCGGGTGTGATCTCCTCTAAGAAGACGTTGCGATTCGCCGGCACTGTGGCAAAGCTGTTGGCGCTGCTGCTGCCGTCCAAGAAGAGCGGACTCAATGGACGACACGAACCACCCAAAAGCTCATCGATATTTTGATGACGCGATATGAAGAGCTTCTCACCACCAAACGTTTGTCTGATGTTGCCAACATTGTTGCTGTAGCTGCTGCTATTGTGGGCATAAGGTGTATAGTAATCATTTGTTTGTTGCGCTTGTTGCTGTTGTTGTGATTGGTGGTGGTAGTAAGGTGATTGTTGTGGTATTGATGATTGTGTTGTGGGCGGTTGTGGTTGAGTTGAGTATTGGGGCTGATAGTAGTGATTCATTTGAACTTTCGACATTGGAATGTTATCGTAAGGCGATTTGCATTGATTTAGATTGCGCGTAGGCGGTTGCGGTGGCATTTGAGGGGCGTCTTGCTCAAGGGCAATGGGGCTGGCACATTGTCCCAATGGTGGCGGTCGTTCTGAATACTCGAAATTGAACGAATTACTAAGTTCGGTGCCAAAATTTTGTTGTTGCGCGCCAGCTACGTGCCCATTAATATGTTGCACTTCTGTGTCGGCGTAATCTCGTCCCCCGGCTTCGTCTGCTGCTACCTCATCCAATTCCGCTGTGCTCAAATTATTTATGACTCCATTCTGTACTTTCTCCTCCACATCATCAGCTTGCAGCCACCAGGCTTTCTCACCCGAGTCAGAACGTTGCGTGCGCGCGCTGGGTCTTTTGACCGGCTTGTCCTCGTCATTGTCCTCTTGCCACCAACATTTTTCATTGGAATCGGCCCGCGCGAGGTTCGAATTCGTCTTTTGCCTTTGTGGCGATTGGTGCCTTGTCTCTTCCTCGTCATTTTGCTGCCACCAGGCACGCTCTCCCGACTCAACGCGCTGGACGGTGAACTGCTTCTTCATTGGGCCAGACATCCACCAACGTTTGTCATCGCTCACATCCTTGCTGCTACTCGATGAGCGCTCCAAGTTACCGGCTTTTCGTGTGGGTAGTTTTATGGTAGCTTCGACGGCCGCCTCTTCTTCACAGTTCTTCCGCTCCTTCTCTGCCTCACTCAACCACCAAGACTTCTCCCCAGATTCCACGCGACAAATTTTCAATTGAATGGCGCCATTTTGCTTACCTGAACTATTCGAGTTCTCCAGTCGCCCATTATTTTTATCATCGCCTTTGCTGTCCTCATTTGAGTCGCCCCACCATGGCTTTTCTGGGGTGCAGTGGCTTCTTGCGATTTGCTTAGCTTCTCCATTTACTTTATAGTATGTCGCACAGTTCGTTTCATTTTGATCATTTTCATTGTGCGCGACCGCTTCGTCCCCTCCGCCAGCTTCATTCCCTGCATTTTGGTCGCTCGTCCACCAACTGTACTTCGTTTGTGATGCATTGCGTTGATCACTACAGCTTTGCGTATTCGTATTCGTATTATTGGTCAGCGACTGTGTAGGAGCCGTAGTGACCTCGCTCTGATCTTCCTCCTCCTGGTTGAGTGTTCTTAAATCATCATCCGCCAAAGTATCGTCCTCATCATTGCGTAACCACCACGCCGTTTCGCCAGAGTCGATGTGCCTGAGCTTGAAGCGCATATCGTCTTTTTGATGGTAACCCAAAGCAGATGCTGTATCGATCTGTCGACTCGTGTCTTGCCACCAACTGGACTCCTCGGGCTCTTCCGCAGACGTCGTAGCCGTAGTGGTGTAGGAATCGGTTACTTTTTCGGTGGTTAGCGCCGTTTCTGTAACCGTTGTTTCGTGTGGGAAGTGTGTACTAGTCGATTTCGTTACTGAAGATCTGCTGCGATCTTGTGTTTCGTTGCTATATTTCGTTAGACTGCGTTGACTCCTCGCAGATGTATTCTCTGTATTGTCGAGGCTCGAATTATAACAGTTTCGTTTCGATGTCGTAGTGGTTGATTCTGCTTCAGCTGCTGCTACGCTGGCAGGATCAGTCGTTGTCGTTGTGGTCGCGTTATTCGTTGGCGACGTGTTCGATTTGGTTGCTGCCGTAAGACTGCTACCAATTAGCTGACCCGTCTCTGAGTCGCCCCCTGAATTCTCAGAGCTTTCGATGAAAATGGGTTCGCTATTTACATCGCTCTGACGAGCAACGAAAAAATTCGACACAGACGACAACTTTTGCAGTCGATTAGAGGTCTTCTCTTGGGAGGAGGTGAGTGGCGATTTCGAATTTGTGCGCGATGATTCAACGGCCTCCGCTGCCGCCGTGTCTATCTGGGGGGAGCGCGTATCATTTGCGCTCAGTGGTGGCGGTGGTTGCGCTGCCTTTCTATTTTCAGCCGCTGGCCGCTGCGACGGTAGATCATTAGAATCACCTGTGCTGTTTGTCGCACACTTTGTCACACTCGAATTGTTGGCTGCCTGTTCTTTGTTGTGGGTGTTGAGGTTCTTCTTCTTGCCCTGCTTTTTGTTTGCTTTCTTTGGCTCCCCAGCGCTTTCCGCGCCGCTCGATGACGATACCGTGGATGTGGAAGTAGAAGTGGAAGACGATGACGATGGGGTGCATGATTTGTGTGCACTATTTTTCAAATTATTGCTGCTGTTATGACGGCTCAGTGATGACGTTGACGATGACGATTTTTTGGCATGGCAGCGTGGCCGTGATTTATTCTCACCTGTCCCTCCTCGTCTACTCGACGCAGCTGATGCATTGCTTGCCTCTGAACCAGCGCTCGGTGAGCGATCTTTGCGCTGTGCGGACCCGTTAACCAGATCGTTGTGAACCTGTTGCACCGCATCCGAATCTGTACCACTACTGGGCGTGCGGGACTTGCGCGGCCGATCGGTGGGGCCAACATTTAGCGCGGATTTACGAAAATCTTTGTTCGGAAGCTTCGTTGGCACATTTGCGCTGCTGGAGCTGCTCTTGGTGGGTGACTCAGCCTTCGGTGCAGTTGGAGGCTTATTGGCATTTGTGTTGGCAGTGAGATTTTCAAGCGAAGATTGTCGTGAGCTTATGCGAACAACCTTTGGAGGAGACAGCTTCGACTTTGTGTTCCCGGCAGCGCGTGTAGTTTTACTAGCGGCAGCAGTGGCCTCTTTCTTTGGCTCGCCGCTGGAGGCAGTAGATACATTTGAGGCGGATGACTTTGAAACAGACGATAACGGGCTGGAACTGTATCGTAGGTTCGTGGATGTGTAACGACTGTCCGAGTGCGGACTGTATGAGGGCACGCGACTGCTCAGACCGAAACGCGAGTAACGCGTCGAGTCATCAAGTCGGTCAGATTGTATTTCCTTATCCAAAGTCTTTCGCTTACATGTTGACCGTTGTATGGTCTTTTCAATTGTTTTTGCAATATCAATGCGGCGCGTTCTTTGCACAGTTGTCGCGCTGCCGGGTGGCGTGGGAGACGTGGCACGTGTGACCACCGACACCGAGGTAAATGTTTCTTTCTCTTCCTCCTCTGAACTACTTCCAACTTCGCTCTTTTCTTCTAACTTTTTTGGCTCTTCTGACACCTCCTCATCAATTTCCTTCTCGTTGGATTTGCGAGCAGCGCTCTCCCTTGCGCGACTAACAGAACGCGCATGAAAGTCACTGGCCGTAAGATATGAAATGGAGGTATCCGGCGGCATAGTTGGCGCACGCGCCGCGGATGTACCGCTGCCATAACGTGCATTGTAACCCGAAGTGCTGGATGATTTCGGCGTTGACATGCGGTATGAGTTCAGCGCGCCGTAGCCAATTTTACAACTAGTGTCGACCACTGGGCTTGGATCGCGCGATTTTCCTCTTAGCGCGCGAGAGACTGGACTAGGCTCCCGACTACGTATACGATTTGTGATTTCGAGGGCGGCAGGACTTGGTTCGCGCGACGAGCCATACTTATTAAGACTACCTGTGGCGGTTGCAGTGTAGCGCTTTGAGCCGCCGATATCGGTGGAGGAGTCTACTACAGGAGTTGCGCGACTCGTTGCACTCGGCGTGTAACGACTTGTGTACGAAGGTGTCTGTAGACTGGAAGGGGTATCGCGCTTGATGCGGTAAGTGCCGCCAGAGAAGGACGGGCGATATGTGCTCGGCGAAGCCAAAGAAGAATAACGACTGCTGCCAATATCATCACGCGAGGTGTACTGCAAGCAAGAAAAATATAAGGTTGTTTTCATATAAAGTATACGAAAATGGTTGCGCTTACCGCACTGGAGCCGCTGGGTTTATACGATGAGCCCAAGTTGGTTTTCCATGGTGTCTGCAAGGAAAGCGGAAAAATTTCACAAATTTAATTATATCAGAGTAATGAAATTAAGCAATTAACACATGCAAATGTTAAAACTAATGAAGATACACAATGTGAACCGGCCTGCCACACAGAAGATCACTGAAAACTGCCTCATTGCGCCATAAATAATAATTAATGGTATTTCCAGATTGACACGAAATCAATTAAGCACTTCACCAGCAATCATGCCACAAAAGCCATGGAGCCACACACATACATATGTACGTGCATAAACATCCATGCCACCATCCATTATGTACGGCAACAGGCAACGCATTGCGGACTGAGGCAGGTTGCACTTTCGCTTCCTCGGAAGAGCTCAACAAAAAAATCAAGTGCATAAGGGCCATTCAGAGATTTCCTCACGCACACATAAAAATAATTATGCTACCCCAATGCGGACATACTTACATGTATATATGTATTTACAGACTTGTACATATGCGTTGCCATTCCACAACAGCGGATGGAGCAGTGGGAGCGGGCGAGAAGTGCTTTCCAACATGTGCGCGCTCTTGTCAATTGTTATTATTTTCCTATTCCTCCCATGCAATGTGTATGAATGTACATATATAAGTAGTAAAATATTTTATAGGCGCTCTCTTGTCGACTCGACACCATTAAATGGACTCGTCGTTGCCGGTTGGCGTTTCACCTCGGCAAGATTTTCAATTAATTTTGGATGTGTAAACAGATTCATTTCGATTATTTCAACATCTGCAAGATTATAATTGGCGCTGACTTCACTGCGATCGCAGCCAGATCAGCACTGAATATGTGTATGTTTGTATGTATTTATTGATGTAGTATAGTATGTATGAATATAACTTTATTTAGACTTATGCTAGCAACCCACTGGAATATTTGGCGATATGTTTTCGAATTTCTTGTAGTTACCATCAAATGGGCAGCAACATAGTATTCTTGCCGTTAAAACCGCAATGAATGCCTCTCCACTTGAACTGCAGAATATTCTTATGCAAGCACCACTACTTGCTTTCAAATTCTTTGAGAATTCCATTATCCAAAGAGTTTTTATATTCAACTTGCAACCAAGTCTATATTTACTTGCGCAATTCTTTAGGAAAATACAAGAATAACATTTCTATTTTTATGCTGGCATGCCATTGAGACGTTGACATTTACCACATCTTACAGATTTCACAGCGGCATAGACATCAATACATACACGTGTTTGTTTGTTTGTTTGTTTGTATTCGAAACGTTCGAAATGCTCGAATTCGGTCGCTGCCACTCTCGCCAAATGTCAGATATCAGCACAACACTCCACGTACAGACTTTTAGCGAGCGTCGCGCTGTTGCATCCAGACGCCTGGCGTCCAGTCCTTTGCCACTTCGATGGATCACCGCTGTAAGGGGTACAGCACACTTGCGGCATATGGCACAAATCACTTTCGCATCACTTTGGAATTTGCGATTCTTAATTGCTTTAGTGTTGTTGCAGTGTGTGATTGAAGCATGTCTGCTGTGCCTTTGTGGCGGATTCCATTTTATTGCACTTGTCGCACATTTGGATTATACAAAAAAAAAAAACAAAAAAAGTATAGAAACAAATCAAAAAGTAGGAGACTTTGAAGAGGTGCGTATTTTCCATATGCGGAATGACACTTTAAAATGTTCGCAAAAGAAAAGTGCTCAACAATAATTGTTGCATAAATATTTACATACCCGAAAGACAGACGATTTTGATGAGAAATTTTTTAATTGCAGGAAACTGCCACCCGAAGGAACATGAGCTATCCATAGTGCATAACTTAAACGGGTGAAACGGATTACCCCGCCAAAAGTAGCTTAAGAAAGACTGGCTAACTTTAAAATATGTCTCATTCTTCGATGGCCGCTGGTGAACTTTTCCTCCCAATATTAATCATTTCTTTTCTCTTGATATGTCCTACTTTAAATTGAATTTTAGTAGTAGTACTTCTCAATTGCCTACTCAGTCCAAAGTAGCACTTGTTGGCAAGAGTGATTCTCAGTTAAATTCCAAACCTGAACCTTGGCTATTAAACAAAGTCCTTTACTTTTTCGAAATTGTATCTGTCCACAGTGTCGTGTTTGCCGAGACGCTTATGCTATGACTGTGTGTCTGATGACGGAAGAACTTCGTTTTTCTCTCGTTCACCACCAGATCCGTTCGCTTTGCTTTTCTATCTAATTCCGGAATGGCAGAACAGACGTTGTTTTTACAGATGGGGTGAATTCCAAAACGTCAAAATACAAAGCATCAGATGATGTATGAATGGACATATATATATATATATATTTATACGACCGGGTCTGAGAAAATGGTGTTATCGGTTCTATTTTTTAAGCTTATATTTCACTAGATTTCGCTCATATTGCAATCAGCAATCTCTTTTCCTGTGTATATTTGTTGCAGATATTATGTTTAGCGTTGAAAGATCTTAGTTTATTTTCATTATGTACTCGTATTGCAGAATTTCGATTAAGTAATTTTTGGCACGTTCCCTTCGAAGATTTCATCAATTATAAACATTCGCGTGCCAACTCGACGAATACCGTAATTGTAATCAAACCAAATAAACTACGGACGTTGTATGTAAATACTTTAGTATGTATGTATGTATGTATGTATGTACGCGAATATGTAAAAAACGAAAGCTACTTCACACCATGCAAAAATGTATAGTATACTAATCTTTTGAAACATGTATGTATATATTTAGGTATGTTCATACATACAGTGAGTGTCAGTGAAAATCGTACAGTAAAATCGTATAAAATCCATAAAAATCAAAATTTCTAACAATTTAAAAATATTTCAAATTTCCATCAAAACTTCACAATTTTCATTCAGATTTTTTTTTCGGCATGCAGTTTTAAAGCCTATTCAATTTTAATATAATTTTAGTATAATAAAGTTTCCAAGGCAGAAACTTTGAGTTTTATTGATCTACCTAAATAACTAAATTTGTATTAAAAATTAAAAAAAAAAATATTAAATACAACAAAATATTTTCAAAAAATTTACAAAAATTTACTTTACGCTGACACTCACTGTATGTAACTATTTATAAATCTAGTACAAGTTGAAATAAATAAACTAATTTTAATGAGCCAAAGAGTAGATGTGTGCCACAACTTTAGGCCAAATCTTAGACATAACTACATAAATAATTTCGCGGTTCTGAACAATCACGCCTTGGTATTAAATTAGTTAGCCCATTGGAAAGAATTCTCTTATTGTCGGCTTAGGCGCCTGTGATGTGGTAAGCAATGCAAATTAATGGGACGCCGTTTGAACATTGTTTATGTGCTGTCAAAGGCGGAGGAAAGGCGTCCGAAGGAATCTCTTTGCAATATGATATTTCTGCTATTCTTAGCATGGTCGAACGCTACTATGCAGATAGGATGCATCACGTTGTAAAGTTGATATGAGATTGGAGTAGTCTAACTACGTTTTGGAAAACAATATGCTGTCTAAAGCACCTATGACGAAAATTTGTTCCAAAGTAACTCAATATGGTTTTAATTGGTTTTGCTTTCTATTATTTTGTAGTCTTCGTGGGTTTCTCCCGCAGGGAAAGAAAGTGAAAGGTTTCGAGACAAAAAAATTACCTTGAAGGTGGCACATGGCAGAAACCGGTTTGCTCCAAACCAAATTTGACAACGAATAAACTCCAAAATATATACATGGGCTCCAATTAATTTTAACGTCAGTGACGGACGAAATTGTGTTTAAAAATATACATATGTATGTATATTAAGTACCAAATACTAGATACAAAAGTATTAAGGTACTTATGTTGTAGTAAATACAGAAGTAAAGTATTTTGGACGTCACTAAATCCTATAAAGGTTGGGAAAAATAAAAAGTCCGAAAACGCCCAACGTTCTTTCAAGATCACGAAAAGCAAACGATGATAAGCCCAAAAAATTTTCAAACAAACTAAAAAAAATACGAAGAAAATCTTGATATGTTCCGAAATATCCTGAAACCTTAGTTAACCGCTTAGTATTTAAAAATATACTAATACTTGAGTATCCTAAATAGATCACACCCTAATATTTGAAATTCAAAAAAAAATTTAATCTTAAATAAAAACCAACAAATGCAACAACCACATGATCAAGTCTAAATAGCAAAAAAACCGTTACCCTTGATTGTAACTAGTTGGGCTGACAAATGAGAAAGTGGAACAATCAACAATAGTTTACATGACGAACTTAGCTCAGTAGGTAGACTACTGGCTTTGAGCGCCGGAATTGCTTGTTTCAAGCCCCAGCGAACTCGGTGAAGAAGTCTGATGAGGAGATGTGGTGATCACCGAAATAGCAGCTATAATTTGTACCAAATGTAAATTACTGTTACTGTTTTTCCTAATAAACAATCGTGATACAAAGCTCAACAAAAATATTAAAAATAAAATGTTAATAAGCCACAATAACATTGGTAAATTACTGTTGTTTTTCCACAACATTTTTCACTAAAAAACGGCCTCAAGCTCAAAAAAAAGTTGTTGAATATTTAATTTTATTTAAAATCATTTTTATTTCCTCAATTTATATTTTTATTTTCGTGTTTTTATTTTATTTTTCTATTTTATTTTATTTTATTTTATTTTATTTTATTTTATTTTATTTTATTTTATTTTATTTTATTTTATTTTATTTTATTCTATTTTCGTCATACATATATTTACAACTGTGCATCTGCGAGTACTTTTCGAACAACTTCACAGCAAATCCAACACGTGCGACGCTGTTACGATTATTTGCAGCTCACAAACTAAACGTCAGAAGTACTTAACCATATATAAATGATTGCCTACTGCCTGCCGCCGAGCTGCAGCTTTGTCTTTCAACACCTTCTAACAATAGCCGGGCTGCATCTGCGGCAACGGCAACGGCTGCACTTTATGACCGTCGCCGACTTAATCAATAAAAGTTGCAGTGAAATTTATGTATTTGCCTTCACACTATTTTCA